GATACTGTGCTTCTATCAAGTCAACAAATCGGAGATAGCTATGAAGTTCATTCTCAAGCCTTTGAGCATTCTGTGTTAGAGCAGAGTCAATCGTGCGAAGCTGATAGCCGAATTGCCTTCATCAAGAGGGAAGAAATTTAAGTAAAGATTGATCAGATAAATTTCAGCATATGGGTAAAGTGAAGCAAATCTTTATTTGTGCATACATCCGAGATATAGCTTCATTTTCCTGTCACTGATGACTATACTGAGATTCACAATCCTGATTTGAATTAGCCTCACTAGGAAGGTTTCGTGTATATGGAGAATAAGAACATAAGACATGTCTCATGAGATTAACTGAAATTATTCGGCCCTGCAAAACTAAACCGTAAGAAACCTGCAATTGTGAATAGTTGTACTCTATCCTTTCAACTAATATGCCTTTGCAATTTTTTCTTACCAACTGCGATGAAATCATAGAAAACACGCGGAAACTTGAAATTGGATTTTTGCTGGCAACAACATAGTACTTATGCCTGCTTTACTACATCGCTGCCTGCGACTCAATAAGCCAAGGAAGGACGACCTACTTGAGAGCAGGCTGCCGTACATTGTGTATGACATAAATTACCACAATGTTCCTGTGGTAAACGTTCAACACATTGACCATTACAAGACTGAAACGAAAGATTTCTCGGACAATAAAAAATTTTGCTAGTCACAAATTTACCTCCTCACAAATGGGCATACATTCTGGTGCAGCAAAATTGATAGATACTTGCGGTTGTTGCGATTGTGTCTGGATTACTGGCTGTGCTGATTGACAGTCTTTTTCACAGACCTGGGAGAATTGAGATTTTGTTCAAACCAAAACAGATCTTATTGAGGGAAGGCAGTACCTCGCCACAAACTCCAACACAAACTGATTTATCTTGCTGATGTTGTAGGCAACCGTTTATACATTGCTGCTCACATAGACATGGAGCAGTTTGAATTTGAACCACTAGTTGGACAGCTTGCTAAAAAACATATGGACAATAATAAAAAAGCATGATGCTACTCTTGCTGTAATCAAACAAACAAACAGTTTTTGAAAGGACCAAAATTTCAACTTTTAGCTCGATGCATTTCATCTTAGAAAGGTTTCTAGAAAACCTACAGTTTACTAATTCATACTTATATATATTCATAAATCTATATCTAGAGACAGTGTATGTAATAAACACATACTTCAATACATTGCTGAGAGCATTGCGGTTGACACTGTGGAACACACTGAGCTGAAGAAGGCGCTTGCTAAATTACAGTTTAGTTATAGCAATTGAGCTTTGAAAG